GTTGGATCCGTTACTGACCGAAGATCAACTATCGGTTATTGTACCTATGTGTGGGGAAATTTGGTTACTTGGCAAAGTAAAAAGCAATCTGTGGTGGCTAGAAGTAGCGTGGAAGTTGAATTTAGAGCTATGTCTCATGGCATATGTGAGGGAATTTGGCTGAAAAGGTTACTATGGGAGTTAAAGGTCTCTGTAAGGAATCCATGAAGATATTCTATGACAACAAAGCTACCATAAGTATAGCAAAGAATCCTGTTTATCATGATAGGATTAAAAATGTGGAGATTGATCGTCACTTCATCAAAGAGAAGGTTAAAGAATGGATTGTTAGATTCGTTTATACTCCTACATGCCTCTTACTTGCAGACATACTCACTAAAGCTCTCTCTCGAAACAATTTCAAGAATCTAAACTCCAAGTTAGACATGATTGACATCTACCACCTTGCTTGAGGGGGAGTGTAGAAATCTAATCTTTGTTATTACTTGATTAATTGACATTGTCTATTTTAGTTAAGTCTCTTATTTTTAGAATAATGAGTGATTTGGGTAATTACACCAAATCCATTACATATTTTTTCATTATGTGAAAAGCGTAAATTATTCATCTAATTAGCTATTTTTAATGTATGAAAATCTTAGGTTTTAAGGATGAGAATATTCAATCTTTAGGCTATATGTTTTCATGCAATTATAGTATTGTAATAAAAATATATAAAAAAAATAAAATAGCTTTATTCAAAAGATTTCTTCAGGTTCTGTCATTTAGTAACTATTTTACAGTTCTTTTTGTTGTACAAGCATATTATCCTTACACTTCTATTGGTACTATTTTGTGATGATTCAGTATCTCTAAACTCTTAATGATTAGAACTGTTTTTAAGAATAAAACAATGCACCTGAACCTTTGGCTCAGTGGTTGGTGTATGCATTCCCTGGCCAAAGAGCAAGGCTCGCATCCCCCTCCCCAAATAAACATAAAACAATGAAAAGGTTTAAATGGGTTAGGTCTTATAGAGGTTGGCACACTGGCTGTATTCATATGGAAGTCTATTATGTGTCAATTTTGAGTTAAGCAATTCAACCTTAATATGGCATGGTTATTTCCATGTAACTCTTGGGTCAGTTTGATTTTGACACAAACCTCTTAAATACTAAACTCAAACCCACGAACTTGCCTCTAGGTTGGAGTTATTTCTGTGGGTACTGTTCCTTATTGCGACCCCTAGTATCCAAGGTCATACAGGATATTTTTCTTTCAGATGTGAAAGGAAATGGGCTGATTCCACCCACCTGTAGAGAATGCTTTATAGTTTCTTATATTCTAGCTACTTGATTATAGTGTTGGATCGTATTTCTTTAATCACAGTTTGGTATGTATAAGGTGCAGCATTTTGAAGAGCAATAATTCTTTTTCACCAATCTCTGATTGTTTGCAGCATTGCAATAAATAGAGGTGTAACTGGAATTTTCACGAAGGAAACAATGAAAGAAATCAAATGTATACGCTCATTTTTTATGGCATTGGAAAATTCATTGTGACAAGAAAATAGCAATTACTGGATCTATCCTCACTTTCCAAAATTAATTCAAAAAGATTCATGTTGACTGATGCCATAGATGGTGTTTTATTTCTAAACAGAAAATGTGATTTTTTGTGGATGTATGGATTGGCAACATTCAGCAATGCAAATAAATTTTAAGTGAAACTAATGAGAGTGCATAAGAGTAAAACAGCTGAAGGAATACATATATTTGGCCTATGGTTCATCTGTAAATTCATCATGATTATTTCATGGAAATATACTTGTCTTACTACCCCTCTTCGATGAAATTAGGTGGTTGATGCATTGTGCAATGTCGTATCAGCAGCACCAACAAAAGCGGCTACAGCAGTTGTTCTTCAGGTCCAAATTTTATTCATCTTGTAAACATTATTCTAAAATTGAAAAGAAAAAACGGCCTGTTTTTCTCTACGGCTGCTGACTTGAACACGATACCTTTGGCAAAAGGTGACACCCATTTGTATTTATGGGTAATAAAATTCAGATCTACCACTTTTGACAAAAGGCCTCTTTATAACAGGCCTCTGTATAACAGGATGAACTGTCATCTGGATGGTGTCCAACCAGCAGCCATGAATTGCCTTATTATCTAGCTTTTTTCTTTTTTTTTTAAACTTTATTGTCTCTATTTGTTTGGTCACTTTTATGGCCTTGTGTTCTTGTCAGGCGGATAGGGAATTGCAGCCATGGATTGCCAAAGATGATGATCAAGGTCAGAAGATGTGGAGAATCAACCAGCGGGTTGTAAAGTTGATAATGGAACTAATGAGAAATCATGATATCCCAGAATCATTGCTAATTGTGGCAAGTGCCTCTGATCTACTTCTGCGTGCCACAGATGCGATGCTTGTTGACGGGGAAGCTTGCCGCAACTGGAGTTACTGCCTCTAATTATTTTCTCTTATAGATAGCCATTCACCAATCACCATGTCATTTTAATTGAATACATGATATTGTGAAACCAAATACATTCCGATTTATCTCAAAGCTTCGTTAATATCTTGAGGTTTTATCAAAAAATGGCAGCTGTTGGAAGCAACAGCTAGAGCTGTTCAGCCAGTACTAGAGTGGGGAGAATCTGGACTGGCAGTTGCAGATGGACTTTCAAACCTGCTAAAGGTGAGCAAATGCCCTTTATTGGCAAGGTCAATTTGATATTCTCTTAAGATTAAATTCAAAAGAATTAATTACACATTTGGTTCTGAACTATTTTAAAATGCACAAATTGATACCTACAGAAACAAATTGATACAATTTTTACCCTGAATTTTCGAATAGAATATCATGTTAACCAAAATCCTAACACTGTTAACCTAACCCACTGTCATGGCATTCTGTCTATATAGTCTAGAAATGTGTACGTCATGTGTTAAATTATATTTTGAATATTTTTTAAAATCCTCATGGGTACCATGTTAATTCCACATGGCATCCAACAAATGGCCGGTTCCATGTGATATACAACTGAATGGATGATATTAGTCAAATGCCACATATAGGCTCACTGGGTTAGCAGTGTTAAAGTTTAGGTTAAAATGATACATGATTTGAAAGTTTAGGTGCAATTTATTTTTTTTTCCTTTAGGTATCAATTTGTAAATTTTGTCAAAGTTAAAATATCAAATATGTAATTAACTCAATTCAAAAACATGCTTTCAAGCTGTTCATTGTAAATACTAATGCTCATTAACATGGATTGAAACGGAGCAAATAGAAGAGGAGGTTCTTTCTTCTTTCCTCTAATGTCATTGCAAGATCTGTGCTGATGTGATATTTAATCTGTCAATTCATGCAGTGTCGTCTACCAGCTATAACTCGATGCCTTTCTCATCCAAGTGCACATGCTCGTGCTCTCAGCGCATCAGTCCTTCGCAATATTTTGCATACAGTTTCAATTCAATCTAATTCCAAGAAGTTGGGAATAAATGGCATCCATTATCCCTCTGACCAATGCTTTAATATGGGTGTCATTGACTGGAATTCTGATATTGAGAAGTGCTTAACATGGGAAGTTCATAGTCAACTTGCAAGAGGAAAGGCTATACAATTTGCCGATACAGCTTCCAAAGAATTAGGTTGTAATATTTCCATATAACATTGATTTGGGATTATCAGAATAAATATCTTTTTCTTTTCAAGTGAGACTGCAAAAGAGGAATAGACGTCTTCAAGTGGGTTGAAGGATATCGTTTAGGCAGAAATGTAACTCTTCAAATAGTCCTAGGGATGAATCCTTTGAATGTCATGAACGCTTCAACAAAGGATGGGGTACGGTGAACTGCCAACCTGAGGTTTCATGTGTCTAATCTTAAACTTTGCTGTAAGCTAGCTTTGTATTTGTATGATATAGGGCCAGATTGCGATTTGTTTGTCAGATTACTGTATGTAGTTTCAGTTAACTTTGATAGTTATTCCATTAGCATGAAGCGACAACTCATAAAAGGTTCTGCTTAGTATCAATTAGTTGGATAATTCAGTTTGTTTCAGCATTATCAGCACCTAAAGCTTTTAGTGACTGTTTTTGGATTCGTTATATATTAATAAACAAGGCACCTTTCATCCTATCAAACAAGTCCAAGCTTATTCATTGAAATAACTTGCACATTTAACATAGTGGTTAACTAAATGTTTCAAATTCTCAATGTTAGTTGGTTAGTCGCCTTGTTGTAAAGTTAAATTTTATTGAATAAATTTTTTAAAAAAATCATTGGTATAATTAATTTTTTTTTTAAATTTAAAACAGGGGCCCGGGGGGGGGGGGGTAAACTATACTGAGGTTGTTTTGATTCCTAAGCTAAAAGGTCCAGAATTAGTCTAACATTTTAGAGCTATTAGCTTATGCAATTACTTTTATTATGTAATCTTAAAGGTAATGGTGAGTTGATTACATAGAATCAAAGTGCTATTATGGCCAATAGGCAGATCCATGACAATATACTAATTGCATAGGAGATGTTTAAATACTTGAGGATGAGGAGCAGGGGGAAAGAGGCGATGAAATTAGAGATGAAAAAGGCAGCTGAATAGGATTTCTTAGAAGCTGTAGTGGTTTTGATCAAACCAGTAGAATGAATAAGAAGGTTATGGACTGACTGAAGAATCAAACCTGAATCTGCTCAATGGAATTCGTTGAGGAAAATCAGAAGAAATGCTAATATGGTGCTCATTTTCTTCGGTTGGAATTCTTATCAAGGAAGATTTAGCAGCTCCTCCTTCAAGTGTATTCAGATGTAAGACTGGATTGGCATGAATATAACAAAAAATATAATACTTGTGGATGGGTCCAACATTGGATTGGATTTACTATAATTATAGATAGAGAGATAGATTAAAATGTATGATATGGTGAAGTAAATAAATTTAAGGAGAAATATAGCAAAATATATATATATATATATCTTAAAATATTTCTCTTAGGTTTAAATTGGTCTTGGCCTCTTGGGGCCTTCAAGGCTTCTAAATCCAGACCAGTCCAATAATAATGGGACCATAAAAGGTGGTTTTGAATTGGATCATGGTAACAATCCATTCTCTTCTCATTTATTTTTTAACCCGACGAATCATTTGTCACAGCGCTTTAAAAACCCTACTTTGGCCGCCGTTGCTTATTCGCTTCTTCTCTCCTGTCCCCAAATTTCTTCGTCCTTCACAAAATGGTAATTAGGTTTCCATCTTTCTTTTCCAAATTCCTAATCTATACAACTCTATTGCCATTAATTGATTAGTTCATCTCTTTCTGTAGCTTTTCGTATGCTTTATATTCATTGATCTGAATCTGCTTCATTTCTTTTTTTTTTTCTATCTTTTTTGGTGGGAAGGGGGTTGTTATGAGCGTTTATAAAATGTGTTTTGCTTGATTTTAATTGGGGTTTATGTTTCATTTTTTTCCCTAAAAGTTGTTGCTTTTGACTTCATTTTATTTATTTTTTTGTGTGTGTAGTCTCTGGTGGCCAACGAAGATTTTCAGCACATTTTGCGTGTGCTGAACACCAACGTTGATGGAAAGCAGAAGATTATGTTTGCTTTGACCTCCATCAAGGGTATCGGAAGGCGTTTCGCTAACATTGTTTGCAAGAAGGCCGATGTCGACATGAACAAGAGGTTTGTTTTATTTTTGAAAAGTTTAAACAAGAAAATGCTGTTTTTATGTTAATTTTAGGCATAATTGGGAATTAATTAGTCTTCTAGGTTGGAATCATTCATATAGTAAAAGTATTGGCTGTGGCCTGAGGATGTTGCCGAATGGTATTCAGTTTTCGATGGTTTATTGTGGAGGTCATATTTTATTCACTTGTTATCAGGGCTGGTGAATTGACTGCACAGGAGCTGGACAATCTCATGACCATTGTTGCGAACCCCAGGCAATTTAAAATTCCTGACTGGTTTTTGAATAGGCAGAAGGATTACAAGGATGGAAAGTATTCCCAGGTTGTGTCTAATGCTCTTGACATGAAGTTGAGAGATGACTTGGAGCGCTTGAAGAAGATCAGGTTAATTCTTTTTTTTCTTTTTAATGATTTGTATTACAATTAATCTTTGCCCTCGTGTATTTTACATGACGGTTATTTGATGCTTGAAAAGATATGATCAAGCAACACTATCTAAGCACGAGAGTTGCTTTTTAATTTGAGTTTATGTTTGCCTCAGTGCTCAAAATATGTCCTCTGACCATTAGCAATTGCTTTTACATTCTTAATAAGCATTTTCAAGCATAGTAATGAATAATTTTGACAATAATTTGAGTTCTCTTCTATAACTTGTATTTGAGATGGAATAAAATGCATGTTGTGACCTTTCCTTTGTGTTATTATGTATGTGGGCAAGTTTGTTCGAATGTGTATGCATCTTTCCTTGAGTTTTGTTTGTACTCTTACAAGCTTTGAAGTTTGCTGCTGGGCAGGTTATTGTCATTATATGAAAGTGTAATTTTATGATATCTTGATGATACTCATTATTGATTAAGATGGGTAGAGGGTTACATTAACGGACATTTAGAATATATTGCATTTACGATAAAATCATAAAAAAATGGTCCTTTAGTTGAACTTATTTGTGTCTACTTTCTTCCTTTCTCTTTGTTTCGACTGCTGTGGGTTAAGATTTCTTGAGAAATAGTTTTGGATCTTGGTTGAGTCAGTTTACTATTTGTGGTTAACTTCTGGCCTTTGGGGCATGGGATGGCAGCTAAGATTTCAAATACTGTCATGCAGGAACCACCGTGGTCTGAGGCACTACTGGGGCCTTCGCGTCCGTGGGCAGCACACTAAGACTACAGGTCGCAGAGGCAAGACTGTTGGTGTCTCTAAGAAGCGTTGAATGCTACATATATTTTGAACAAATATTGTATTGTCAGGCAGAGAGTTAATTTCCTTGCTTTTAAGTACTGTTTGCATCAAGTCAAATTTTGTATGTGATTTTCTTATTCTGAGCTTGTTTCAAACCTTGCAGACAAGTTGTGCTTGATCTTTATCTGTTGCTATTAAGAATAGTTGCATTGATAGATGTTTATGCTTAAATGTTGTTTCTTTGAATTTTCAATTCCTTTGGCTCTTTTATAGTTTGTTTTATGATCTAGGACCCTTGGCAATTACTTGTAGGCATCAATTCTTTTTCTTGGGGTTTTGTTAAATTTCCAGCTAATAAATAATTGCGACTTTGATATATTTCACATCAATAAATTATTAATGGTTTTATTTAATGATGTATTTATTGAGTTATTTTCAAGTAGTTTTCTTCTATGGTCTGTTGATCCGCTTGAGTTTTTTAAGTACTATTGAGTAGAGTTGTTTTATTAGTGTTTTTAAAATAAATCATAACATAGTTTAATAAATTTAATGCGAAAATGTGAGAATTCTAAAAATTATTTGATAATATTGATGTATATTGTCATTCGATAAAAATAAAATATTTGCTTTTCAAGCATGGATGTGTTTTGCCTGAGGGAGTGATCCAACTGAATGTGGCTACAGCAAAAGCTTCACCATTTTGATTACAAGTAGAGAACAAATTAAGTGGCTGGAGCTCCAGCCCACCCTCTTTTTGTTTAAGCTAGAAGGAGACGTTTGGCTTGTAAATTTTGAAATAATTTTAAATTCTAAAAGGTAAAGTAATTTAGATAGAAAGTGATAATTGAAGAAAAATATTTAATTTTTGGATTTTGTTAACTTAAAAAAATATTTTTTTTGTTTGGTTTACGGAAATATAAAATTATTTAATAAAACTTTTTGTTATATTGTCTTTGATACTTTTATTATATTGTTTTTAATAACTATGAATAACATGTGACATTCGTAATATTATAAAAATTACATTTTTTTTTAAATCAAATAATTAAAAAATAATTTTTATATTTTTAACAAATATATTTTTACATTTTTAATTATTATATTAAAGTTAATTGGTCTCAAGTAAAAAAAGAAAAAAGCTCTCGCAGTAAAGTGGATCCTAGAACAAATTTTAGTAATAATATTAAATAAAGGGTTAATAGCATCATAGTCCCTAAATTTTATTTCAAATTCTATTTTAATTCTTAAATTTTAAAAAATTCTAATCGAATCCCTAATTACCTAAAATTATCCTATTTTAATCTTTCCTTCTATGAAATTGTATAAATTGACATCAAATACCATCCGACACCACATGATAATGTCAGCTAATATCTTACGTGGTAGATGAGTGACTAAAATAAAATTCTCTCAAAGTTTATGGATCAAGATGAAACTATCTTAAAATTTTATATATTTCATATATATTTTATAAAATATTAAATTTAAAATTATATTTGCATAGTTTTTGTTACAATATAACTTATTAGATAGATATTTATTTTAAATACAAAATAGATATTTAAAACTTAAAATTAAGTTAAAATTTTCAAATCCTTTTTTAAGAATTAATGCATTTTAAAAATAAATATTTTTTATTAAAATATTATTTTACTCATAATTCATAATAAAAACATATTATTTTCTATCCAAAATATTAAATATCTTTTATTTTTTCATTTAATATATTTTATAAAATATGTTTTATAAAAAAGAAAAAATATTTTAAATTATATTTTTATTTTATATGAATATAAAGTATTTATATTTTTGAATAGATTAATAAATCTATTTTTGAAAATGATATGAAAATTTTTACATAATATAGAGTTTTTATTTAATTTTTTAATTAGCTATGAAAATTTTTACTTAATTTTTTAAAATGATATGTGATTTTAACAAAATTATTTTGAAATTTTCAACTTAATTTTAATTTTTTTAAATTTATTTTCCATGAAAAATATAATTTTATTGATAAATCATATCATAATAAAAATTTAAAAATATTTTAAATTATAATATTTTATAAAATATATTTGAAATATATAAAAATAAAAATTTTGAATTACTTTTATATATTCCTTTATTTATTTTTTATAAATATTATTTATTTTTTTATAAAATATATTTGAGAAAAGAAAATAAAAGATATTTAATACTTTAAAAAATATATTGTATAGATAGAAAATAATATTTTTATTGTCATTTATGAGTAAAATAATTTTTTTGTTTTTAAAATGTGTTGAATTTTAAAAAATGAATTTAAATTTTTAAGTTAATTTTAATTTCTTAAAAAACTATCTCTATTAAAAACAAAAAATATAACAAATACATTTATTACAACAAAAAAATTAAAAAATATATGAAATATAACAAAAAAAAATAACAAATACATTATATTACATTTTATAAAATATATATGAAATATATAAAATTTTGAGATAGTTTCATCTTTACTCCTTAAATTTTGAGAGAATTTTGTTTTGATACCTTATCTGCAATGTCCAATGTTAGCTAACGTTACCATATGGTATCCCTTGGCATTTGCCATCAATTTAAATAGTTTTATAGATGGAAGGACCAAAATAAGATAACTTTGGACAATTAGGGATCCGATTAAAATTTTTTAAAGTTTAAGGACAAAAATAAAATTTGAATAAAAATTTAGGAATTACAGATGCTAGTAATCCTTAAATAAATGTATTTTAGATTTCAAATGTAATAATATTAAGTAAATATATTTTGTGTTTTATTTTTTTTTCATATTTTCAATAAAAACTGCATTTTTTATTTTAGAAAAGTTGTTTTTTCAATAAAAATAACATTTTTATCTCAAAAATATAGTATTTATTGAATTTTTAAAAAATATTTTTTCATATTTTTAACAAAAATTACGTTTTTGTTTTAAAAATGTCATTTTTTCAATAAAGACTACGTTTTTATCTTACAAATGTCGTTTTTATTGAATTTTGAAAAAAATATTTTTTCATGTTTTTAACAAATATTGCATTTTCTATCTTAAAAATTGTCTTTGTTGAATTCTACGAAATATTTTTTTCAAGTTTTAAACAAAAATTACGTTTTTATCTTAAAAACATGATATTTTTAACAAATACTATGTTTTTTTTTTAATCTTAAGAACCTTTTATTTGTTAAATTTTGAAAAAATATTTTTTTCATATTTTTAATAAAAACACGTTTGTTATTTTAGAAATGTTGTTTTTTATTGAATTATAAAAAATATTTTTATTTTATCTTCTCAACGAAGATCGTATTTTTAATCATAACTTTTATGAAGATTTTAATAGTATTGTGTTAAAAACGTGATTTTTGTTTAAAATATACTAAAAAATTATTTTCATAATATTTTATAAGAAATTACTATGTTTATAAGACAAATACCAATAAGAAAATGCAATTAAGAGAAAGTAAATGGAAAAAAATTTTCACTTTTCCTTTAAAATTTAAAAAACCTTAAAAAAAAGAGAGTTTTTTTATTCTCTCATACTTTTCCATTTTTTGACATTGCTAAATATCTTAAAAAATTTCAACAATCACATTCCCATGAACCAAATTAAAAAAAAAAAAAATCAAATTACGAAAATAAAATTTCGAGAGGAAACATTACTTCCCTGAATCAAATGCCCCTCAAGGTGTTTGCTTTACCAAACATTTTTCTTATTACTTCAATTCAAATGGTAGCTTAGCATGAAGAAAAATGATGGTTTTGAAGAAAATTAAACAAAAGGCATGAAAAAAAATTATATAAGTGAACCTAATACTAAAGAATAAGAATTACAAAAATTAGGATAAAAATAATAAAAACTATGGTTGGTTTTTCTAATTATGTAACTTATCCTACATAGAGAATTAGACTTTCTTGTCATGTTCATTAGAATTTGACAAACTGTAGATACCTAATTTTGTTTGAAACATTTTATTGTTTTAATTTGAATTTATTTTTATAATTGGGCCTCGATCATTATTTTTTCGAGCTTATTGCATGGCCTATTCTTGAATGGTTCAATATGATTCCTGATAAAGGACTCGATAAAGGCTCAATCAACGATTCATTTTTGAAGCCCATTAATGGCCTCTTGTTGGCCATTAAATGAAAATCCAAATAAATGAAAAATAAAAATCATTAAATTAAAAAGCTAAATAAAAGTAAAAAATAAATAATTTAAATAAATAAAAATTATAAAAATCATCAAGTTAAAAAACCAAATAAATATAAAAATATAAAAATATAAAAGCTTGGCCATTTAGGCCAAAATGGGAGCCCATATGCAAGCCCATAAATAGAGTCCAAGGAAACCCATTTGGCTTAATTTTCTTGCATGAAATGGGGCCATTCGGCCCAAGTTAATGGCAAAGGCTTGTACACATGGAAGCTAGAAAAAAGAAACTAAAAAACCATGCATGAAATGGGCATGCATAAGCCAATAGGTAAGCAAAAAAAAAAAAAGTGCATGAAAACGGTCTATTACAAGCATGAAGAATAAGGCAGAGCTGAAAGTTGAAGTTTGCATTTTTTTTGGCAATGTGGGGGGCTTGGTGAAGAAACTGTAAAAAAAAAAACAGAAAAAAATCTTTCCAAAAAGAAAGGAAAATGTGGAGAAAAAAAGATGGTTAGGAAAAGAAAAGACGTACGTAAAAGGGAAAAGTGGGGAAAGACATAGGGCAGGCATATAGCAACACAAAGCACTAAAAAAAAAAACTTGCAACACAAAAAAAAAATGGCAATGGGCATTCAAAAAATGTAGAAAAAAGATAGCAGAATAAAAAACTAAAAACCAAAAAAAGTTGAAGCTGAAAATGGTGAAGAAAAAAAAGAAAAAAAATAGAGCAAAAATGAAAAAAAAAAAAATCAAGAAACCAAAAAAATAAAGCAAAATGCAGGCAGAAGTAGAAAAAAATAGTAGAAATAGGAACCAATAGCAAAGCAGTAAGAAAAAATAGGTATTCAATGACAAAAAAAAAAGAAATTGAAAGCTAAAAAAGAAACAAAAACCTCAATAAAAAATTGAAGCAAAAAAAAAATTGCATAGGCAACGAAGCTATGAAGGAAAACTGTAAGCAAAAAAATTTAACAGAAAATAAGGAAGGGCAGTGGCAATAGTAGGATTCAACAACACTAGGAAAAATAACCAAACAATAAAAATAGAAGTTGTATGCACAGTAGCAATAAAAAAAAAGTAGATAAAAGAACAGTAATGAAAAACAAAGAAGCAACAGTAAAAAAAAAGAGAAGATCGAAAGGTTCTGTAGCAAAGGTCTTTTGTTCTTTTTCGTCGAAACTTTATTTTTCTTCTTTTTACATGCTCTTATTTTCCTCTTATAATGGAGTATAT